TCGAAAAACTGTCAACCTAAAAATGCTCCACCTGCGGTGTCGCATTTTTATTAGTTGACAGTTTTTCTCGTCTAATTGCTAGGCAACAGATTTTCATTACCTAAACAACCCAAATTTACTCGGTAAAATACAAACCTCTTGTGCAATTATAAGTGAGAAATAAAGTTGTCATTCCACAAGATTTGACAAATAATCTTTAACTCAAAACCGCAAACAAGATTTGATTTTATTACGGCCAGGTAATCAGTGTGCAAAGCCTATTTCTAATTTAGAACGTAACTTGTATCAGGTTAATGAAAATGTTTTAGTTAGAAACAAGCATTCTCAAACATGGGAGAAAGGTAAAATCTTAAGTTTTTGCACATATTTAGTATTAGTTAATGGGGATGTAAAAACGTTTCATGCGGATAACATTCGCGCCAGTACGTTACAATCTAAAGTCCCACCTTCTCTGCCACTTGAGACAGCTTTTGTGGGACACAATATTTATAAATAGCGGTTTGATATATAATTTTTTTGTTGGCTATTCTGATTGCGTGTGTACGCTTGCGCGGTAATTATTTGTAAATAACAGCTGATGCATTTTATAACCTTAAGGCTGGAGTGCGTTCAGAAACAAGTGATGTTCTTTGGTGTGAAGTAAGTGTAGAGTGATGTCACGTGCCCAATGTCACTCTGTACTTTAGAAACGCACGGAGTGAGATGCTACTGTCAATTATTTTTGTAAGGTTAGAAAGTTCGAGCAAAACAAACAATTTTAAATATGAAGAAGCTTATTTGTGGCTTGGCAATCTCATTATTTAAACAATTCCTATCGGAATTAGAAATATTTGTGTTTGAAGCTATCGATATTGAAGACGAAGAAGATCCTGTACCTTCAAAAAGGAGAAAGTTGCCGATTAGGATTGAGAATTATATGGAAAGGGTAATACCGAACCTCAGTAAACAACAATTTCAAATGCATTTCCGTATCAATTATGTGACATATACCAAGTTGTTACCAATTATTGCAAATGAAATAAAGAAAAAAGACATTGTGGGACGACCTTTAATAGACATCGATAGACAATTACTTGCTGTACTGTGGCTATTGGCAACCCCAGATTCATTTAGGTACCTACCTACATATGGAATACATTCATATATAACTAGCACTTCGTTTTAGATCAGTAGGAGAAAGATTTAATATGGGAAAGTCTTCTTTAAGTGTGTCATTTTTCCGTATCATCAAAGCGTTGAATAACATTGCGCCAAAAGTTATAGTTTGGCCAACAGGCGAACAGGTAGAAGCAGTTAAAGAAAAATTCTCCAATCTTGCAGGCATTGACGGTGTTATTGGAGCAGTAGATGGAACGTTTATTCCAATAAAAGCCCCCAAAGATGACCCAGAGGTATATATATGCAGAAAATGCCATTACGCAATTACACTGCAAGGAATTTGCAATGCTTCATTAAAATTCACTGATGTATTCGTGGGTTATCCTGGATCTGTAAGCGATACTCGAATATTCCGCAATTCCGACATATATAATGCGGTTACTGAAAATGTTATGGAATATTTTCCCAATGGAGAGTTTATTTTAGGCGATAAGGCATATCCTTGTTTGTCATGGTGCATACCTCCATACATCAACAGTGGAAATATGAATGCAGCAAAAAGAAATTTTAATTTGAGAGTATCTCAGACCAGACAAAGTATAGAGAGGGCATTTGGCCTTTTATTTGGACGACTACGGCGACTTAAATTTTTAGATATGAATAGACAAGATTTGATTCCTGCAACTGTTGTCGCATGTTGTGTTGTGCACAATTTATGTATAGAATCGGAAGATTTATTGGTAGAGGAGTTTATAAATGAGGGTATCCAATTTGTAAGAGGGAATTTGGAACGTGAACATAATGGCCGAGGAAATTTATTTCATGAGAATGGAACTCATAAACGTGATCAGTTGTGTCAAAGATTATTTGATGTTATGGACTAAATACTTGTAAATATTTTGTAATATCTTTATGAAACACTTAATCATTAATAATAAACATAAACTGTTACGAACTTAATACATATTCTTACATATTGAAAAAATACACTACATTCTACAGGATGTGTACGGTATTTTACTGTCATAATCCTACAATTTGTCTAAAAGTTTATTCATCTGCATGTTGAAATTTTCAATGGATTTTTGCTGCAACTCTCGAAGTAAACTCAGCCTCTCTTTATGCCGCCTTTCAATATCATCTTCTGTGAAACGCCTTTTCCTGGAAACTGATGGTGTTGGAGAGATACTTGAAGTTGTTGATGCAGTTTCCGTAACAGGCGGACTAGATGATCGAGATCGAACGTCATCACTGTCTTCCTTTTTGTCTAAGTATAATAATATAATCAAATTTACTTATAATGAGAGAAAAAGATCCTTACCTTCCAAGTTGCGTCCTCTTAGAGAGGATGCTACTGCAATGGGCTCAACGTTTGGTTTTTTTCCGTAAATATCATCCATCTCTTCGTAATAAGTAAATTGTATAGCGGCAGCACCACTACTAGTCGCTTTCATATTATCTTTCTTCTTCATATACCTCATTTTTAAATATTTTACTTTATCTTTAATCTGGGATGTAGTAAAGTTCCCACCATCATTCTTCATTTCATCCTTCATTAGCGCATATACTGCATCATTTTTTATGGTGGTCGATTTAAAATCTTCTTGGTGAAGTTTTAAAAAATGAATGAGCTTTAATGTCATCTCGTGACTCCACGAAACTTTGGTTCCCATCGGCGTACTCGTCCCGTTTGGTGAAGGAAGTGCAAGATCGGCAAGTTGCTTTTGTAATTCCTCATAATATTCAATGCCAAATATTGATTGCAAATCTGCATTAATTGAATGATACAGTAACTCTCCACCTGATAGGATTAAAATAGGAATCGATATATAAAATAATGTACCTACTTACTTTGAGTATTTTGCAAAACAACATTTTCATTTTCAATAATATATAAACCATTTTCGTTAACTACTGGCACATACGCATTTTCCATTATTAATTTAATAATTTACTTTACTGAAAATAAAATAATTTGGACAACGATTGTTGACATTTGACAGTTAATTATGAAATGCGCATGACAGGTGATTATTACCGCGCCAAAAAGCGAGGTAATGAAAGGTCACTCCAGAGTTACACTGAGGCGACTTGCAAGCGTTTCTGAACAAAGGGTAGTGTTGTACAAGGTGATCACACTACACTTTCTGAACGATCAGCGTAACTCCTATCTGGTTTCTGAACGTACTCCTGGTTTATGCAGTCGTATTTAACGTAGGATTTAATGTAATGTAATTTAACCTACAAATTTAAGAAGTTCACTATACGTATTCAAATGGATCAGTTTATGCAATAATTTAGTGTAATTTAAGGATTTAGTGTAACGTAAAGTTGGGCAACTTTCAACTTTTACGTTAAAATTAAATAAAATTGGTATACACGCGTGCGCGGTAGTCAGCTGATTGTAATTTTTGTTTTTTTTAACCACACTTTGTCACTTTCGTCATTTCCACAAAACAGGTAAAAAAAATGGATGATATTGAAATAATCTGTGTGATGTCGATTCTTGTGGGTGTGTTGTACTTGAGAAGTAGAAAAAGAAAACGAAATCGTCGTTATGCTGTTCGGCCCATCAACAGGCATCGTGAGCGGCTGGGTTTATTCAATTCAATCAAGATGATGTATCGATCGGATCACCATCACTTTTTTAAATACACCAGGATGCACCCACCCCTTTTTGATTTATTGCTTAATAGTTGGTCGAACCTCATTTAATAAAAGATGAGACCAAAAAGCATATTGCACCTGCACATCGCCTAATTCTGACGCTTCAGTGAGTATTGAAACATTTTATGGCAAATCATTGATTGCACGTTCTTTTATTAGTTACCTATCGGAAGGCTGTTCCATGCAAGAGCTTGCATATAGCCATATGTTGGGGAAAGCAACGGTTGCAATTATTATAAGGGAAACCACAAAAATTCTTTGGAGTGTGCTACAACCAATTTATTTAAAACCACCGACGCAACAGTTACTGCTGGAAATATCGGAGGAGTTTTTAAAAAAATGGAATTTGCCGCACTGCGTGGGAGCTATTGACGGCAAACACGTTGTTATTCAGGCACCGCCAATGAGTGGCTCAATTTATTTCAACTACAAAAAGACGTTCAGTATTAATTTAATGGCAGCGTGTGATGCTAGTTATAGATTTACATTCGTGGATGTAGGAGCCCCAGGTGGCGATCATGACGCGTCTGTGTTTAGATCGTCGCAATTTGGCAAAGAAATTCTGAATAATACATTGGATTTGCCACCTACGACAAATTTGTCAAATAGTACTGTTCAATTTCCGTATTTCTTTGCCGCCGATGCAGCCTTTCCTTTGCATACAAATATTATGCGACCGTATCCTGGGGAGAGACTGCCAGAACAACAGAAGATTTTCAATTACCGCCTTTCAAGGGGACGGCGAACAATAGAAAATGCGTTCGGTATTCTAAGCCAACGTTGGAGAATATTAAGACGGCCAATTATTGCGAATGTTGACCTTTGTGAGGACATAATATTAAGTTGTGTCGTGCGGCACAATTTTATCAAGCACATTGAAGATGTGGCACCCCCATCCGAACACAAATACTGTCCTCCAGGGTTTACAGACAGTTGTAAAAGCGATGGTACCATTGCACCTGGTGGTTGGAGAGATGATTCATCACAATCATGTCTTCGACCAATAGGTCGAGTGGGATCAAATAATCCCAAAGTAAATTATAAAATACTGCGTGATAGACTCTGTACATATGTAAACTCACCAGAGGGATCTGTAGCTTGGCAAGAGGATAGAGTATGGAGAGGAGCTTTGCCAAACACATTTTAATAACTACTTATTATATTTTTATAAATTTACACCTACATTATTATTTAGAACTAGTTTTATGCTAAGAAATATTTATAACTACTTATAACTAACTATATAAAATTTGTAAAATTTGACGTTTTAATTCTTTTTTTTTGTTCTCGTCCTTAATTTCTTTTAATTCTAAGCCCACCATTTTCCCGAAGCACATGTCCCGGTCTTCCTCCGTGGGCATTGTTGGTTGATGCGCTTTGGAAGTCATGTAGCCATCCAACGTGCCCATTGCTTGTTGGATGGTTTTGTTGACATTCTCATCCACCTTTTTCTGAGACTTTGCTTTTGTCGGCCGTTCTGTAGGTGAAGGAGCGGACTGCTGTGTTAAGGTGCTAGTCCTTGACATCGATGAAATGGGTGAGAGGAGATTGACGTGAGGATCTTCCTCAAACTCCTCAGATTCCCCTTCAATCATGATGGAAAACGATTCCCAGGGATTCAGTTTCTGTTTCTCCGCTGCACATGATGAAGTGGCGGCAGGTATGTTTCCCTTAGTTCTAATTAAAAGCACAATGACAGTAACTTAAAATTGACTACTGTGAATACTTTACCTTCTTTGAGTAACGTGCTCGGTCAAAAACGACATGGCGTTGAAGTATACCCATGACGAAGTATCGCCTGCGGCCCCTGATGGAGTATACTTCTTCTGCTCCGCGTTGAAACGTGCTCGCAGTACAGCCCACCTACGTTGACAGTCTTCAACTATAAAGTATAATGTTATTAAAGGAATACTACACTTTGATCTTTTACCTGTACTTCCCAAAACATGGGAAATTGTTTCCCAGGCATTTTTTATTGCCGAACTATCTTTGTAAAGCTTGTTACTTTTATCGTACAAGTGGGAAAACAGCCTCACTTGGTCGATTAATTCGCCATCTTCCATGGTAAAAACAACTAAACACACAAAAATACTTAAAAAATTACAATCGCAAAAACACAACCGACTTGTAAACAAGTGTGAAGTGAAATGGCGTCACGTCAAACTTGTTGCTATGAAGTTAACAACGTACATAACGCGCAGGCGTACATATTATTAAATTCCATTAAAAAATTATGCATAAACGTCACCTTAAATTAAAATTACACTACGCTAATTCCTTAAATTACATTACGTTAAATTCTACTGCATAAACCAGCCTTTATTATTTTACGTGCACATTTCACATGTTAAATAATTGTATTTCGAGGTGTATTTAGTTGGTTTCTGACAAATTTAACTGTGACTTGTTGATAATGGCCGGAACATCATCATGTTCAAACGTAAGTACTTTAGCGATTCTTGCTCTATTTTTACTTATATTATGTAAACATTTTTATAGGTCGATATACCTCAAAAACGGCTAACTTCAGTAATGGTGAGGTAGCATTATTGAAAGAGCTCGTAAAAGAAAGGAGACACGTGTTGCGAGTGCAAAAAATCGGACACTGTTAGCCTTAAACAAAAAAATCAGTGCTGGGATGATTTAACTAACTGACAAAACAGCAGTATGCAGCAGAAAAAACTATGTTCTTGGAACTGGTGGAGGTGGATGTGTGACACGAAGATCGATAGTGATGTTTTAGAAATATTGTCAACACAGGCTACCGGACTGCCTGCAGTAGTAGATTCGGACACTGTAGTTATAGTAACTCAAGGTTTGTTGACTTTATTAGTTATTTATATAAAATATTATTTTTTATTAAATAGATTCGTGTATGGGAAATTCCAAACAAAGCAGGATATGGGATGATTACACACCATCTATGCTACAATCACCACGGGCTCCACAGCTGGTAATTAGTGAGGATCAGCATGTAACGCCGCGCCGATGGTAATTTAGGGCCGGTTGTACAAGTATAGCTTAAGCAGAGTTTAAGAATTAAGCTGAGTTTAAACACAGTTCAATTTTTTAGAGTGTTGTACATACTTCACTCAACAACTAAACGCAACTTAAGTTTTGTTTTATTTAAGCAGCCGATTTTGTTGGTTTAAGCTTAGTTTTGGTTCTTTGCGCATAGTCACCGATTTGTTAGTTTTGTTAGGTTATAATTTTATGTAATACCTGTTACCATTGATTAACATAATCAATGCTGTTACCCTCCAAATTGTAATGGAGTTGCATGCACTAACAGATGATGAAGATTTCCTAGAAGTAATTAATATAATTGGACGCAGAAGAGCAGCAAAGATATATAGGCACCGAGATAACCACTTTACAAAGTGGAATGATAAGGAATTTTTAAATAGATTTAGGTTATCCAAAGATTCAGTTCGTTTTGTAATTGATTTAATACAAGAAGAAATATCACATCCCACAAACAGGTATAAAAACGACCCTATAGTGTAGCTACCACCCAACCACATCGTATAATTTCGTTACAGAAACTTTGCAGTAAGTGCCGAGTGTATGGTATTATTGGCACTAAGGTATTTAGCAACTGGCTGCTTTTTGTCAGTTGCAGGCGACTTTATTGGCATCGATAAATCTACTGCAAGCAGACTTACTACAAAAGTCTGTCGAGCCATTGCCAGTCAACACCGCATTTTTATCAAAATGCCTACCACAGAGGAAGAAATGAGAGAAAGAAGTAGAGGCTTTTACATGATTAGTCGTTTCCCCAAATGCATTGGTGCTATTGACTGTACCCATGTGAAGATTATATCCCCCGGTAACAATGCTGAGATTTTTCGAAATCGGAAAAATTTTTTTTCTTATAATGTGCAAGCTGTTTGTGATGCAAGCCTGAGGATTCAAAATATTGTATGCAGATGGCCTGGGTCATCTCATGATAGCACAATATTTTTACATTCTCAAATAAGAAATCAATTTGAGAATGGAGACTTTAGAGGGTACTTATTAGTTGGAGATGCAGGATATGCTATTAAGCCGTATTTAATTACTCCTCTAAGAAATCCGATCACTCGTACTGAAAATTTATTCAATGAATCCCAAATACGCACACGTAACCCAATAGAACGGTGCTTTGGTGTGATGAAACGCCGATTTCCCATATTGTCATTTGGGATTCGACAACGCGCAGAAAAGGTCGAGGCTATAGTAATTGCAACTGCAGTATTACATAATATAGCTAGGAACTTTAATGATGCACTGCCAGACATAAATGAGGAAGAACAAGAAGCTATTGCAGCTGCTGAAATAAATTTCGAAGTGGAAAATGTTCCATATTACAACAATGGACTAAATAATGCTGTACGTCATCACCTTATTCACGAATACTTTAATCGCTTAGCATAGTGTACAGTGTATATTACGAACAAACTTATTGTTTAACATTTTTTAATAACATATCTTTTTGTAACTTCAAAATTTCCATTTTTAATTTGTGTTCTTCTTTCATACATTCTAGTTCGAACTCAGATTTTGTCTTTTTTATTTCTAAATTTAACTTATGTTCCTCTTCCGTATGTTTTAATTTTACTTTTTGTTCTTCCAAAACACCTTCCATTCTACTCTCTTCCAGTTTTGTTTTAGCCTCTGCCCACTGCGAAATCTTCTTGTTAATAACACCCTGGGATGTATCTAAAATTTTAAAATAATTAGTATTTATAGTACATTTCTGAAAGTGATTTTACCAGTGGTGTTTACACAAAGCGCAGCTGATTTTTTTCTTTTAAGCATATTAGGTGTGTACTTTTTCCAGTTTTTATCACCTACAAATTCAGAAGGAACTTAGATTTAATACTTTATGACCAGTACCGTATACTACCATTATTTTCGATATCATCTGTTGCAGATGGTTTTACGGTCGAACTGTAGTCGTGATCGTTAGCAAACTCTACTATCATCTCTGTAACGAAACAATATTGAACCACACACACACTTGGAAGTCCTTATTTACCATTACTAACTTGCAGGTCGTCTGTTTCTGGTATTTCAATTTCAACTGGAAGTAGTAAAATGTATGTAAATTGTTTATAATGTACACATTTTTTACTTACTAGCATCCCCATCAAATTGTGATTGAAATCCCTCTGCTCTTGGGCCAAGTATATCTTTAATGCCCTCTTCGGTGTCATTTAATGGGGTGTCTTTGTAAGGACCACCCCCAGTTCCCATTGAATACGTTTTATTTTCAGACAGTTTCTTTTTCACCCTTTTCTTTAGATTTTCGAACTTCTTTTTTAACACAGCTTCACTACGGTGGCTGTCGTTTACTACATTGAACTCCCGAGCAACATTTGACCAGGCTTCGGTCTTTTGTTGGTTCGTAACCGCATCTGTTTTTTTGCACTCTAAGACATGTTCATATTGTTTTACTAAACTGGTTAATATTGCCTCTTCTTTCGCGGTAAAATTGGCTGCACGCACTTTTTTTTCGTTAGAGCACATCGTTATAAATAAACTAGTATTGATTGAAGGTTAAGTTTATTCACAACAAATATCCAATTAATTCTTTATGCGCATGTTTGCACGTTGCCAACAACAGAAAATTGTGGTTTTGGTAAACGAAGTTTGAACGCAGTTTGTACAACGAGGTTAAACGAAAACTACGCTCAAAACTTGGGCGTAGTTTAGTTAAACCATCCCTGAACTTCACACTTGTACAACCGGCCCTTAATTTCATTGACTAAGGGCCGGTTGTTCAATCACGGTTTAAACTGCAGATTAGGTAATCTGTAGTTTAAGATAATCCACAGTTTATCTTTTATTGCGTTGCTCATTCGCAGTTTAGGGAGAGTTTAACTAAACTGCGTTTAATGAAATTTCTATTGGTGGCAACACTGTAATCCGCTCAAATTTTGACGTTTACGCTATTCAAACTTCAAATTTGGTTTGTTTACAAGCGTGTATGTTGTTTTGTTCGTGATTGAAATAGTGTCTGTATTTTTTGTGTAATTAATCATGGCTAGTAACACCGTTTGGAAATGGAGAATGGTAATTTAGTACGGAAGCGACCACGATCTGTAAACTTCAATCCAACGATGCGATGCTTCTGCAGCTCGTCAAAAAGTTTCGAGCAACAATAGAGTGTAAAAAAACCGACGTTCTTAATAACCGCATCAAAGACGCTGCATGAGGCTGAGGAGTTTAATGCTGCAGGAGGTCAAGGAAGGGATGCGAAAACACTCAGAAGCAAAAAAAGGTTTTAAAGAAAAAATTTGCAAATAAAAAGAGATATTTAAATGCTACTGGGGAAGGGCCAGCGAAGAAAATAATAACGACGGATGTAGACGAGCAAATAGAGGAATTGCTTGGAATGAGAGGTTCTTCTTCATCGTCCAAAAACGGCTGCATTAGCTCCAAAAAACCTTCATCATCAGTAATTGGCTTATCAAAATCCGTGTAGTTCATCTTGATTAACAAACCATGAAACCAACAGCCCAAAATGACAAGAATAACGTTTTCGCGTTTGTTTGATTATGTAGGTATTTGGGGTTATGTTTGACGGTTTAGGACCGTTAAACGGCCCTCTTTCACCGTTTAGTTAAACCTCTAATCTAAACCGAGTTTAACGTTAAACCGCAGTGGTGCAATGCATTAAACTAAGCTTACAGCTTTAAACGCCAGTTTAAGCTAATCTGCAGTTTAAACCATGATTGAACAACCGGGCCTAAATAGAACATATTTTCTTTGCTTTTTTATATCAAAACTCTCGGTTAACTAAACGCTTTTTACATGAAAACTCGATTAAATAGAAAACACTCTTTAATAAATCAATATAAATATTAGTTATTACATATAGTTTGGCCAGTTACCTGTATCAATGAAACTCATTTTATAGGAATCCGAAACTGCAGAAGGAATAAATGGTGCAGCTTTTGCACAAAATAGTGCACCTGTAGAGAATCGCAGTGCATCTCATTCAAATGGTAAAAAAGCAGTCAGTGGTGAGTTAATCCATTAACGTCTTGATAACTTTTTTGTTTTTATTAATGAAATTTTGTAAAGCATGTATGTGTGTTAGGTTAATGACTAATAAATGCTCTATTATTGCAGATTTCAAACGTAAACGCCCCGTGACAGGCACAGTTACTAACGAAAAATGGTCTCGACTTGCTGATAGCAAAGAAGAATTGGTTCGACTCCAAATCGAAGGCTTGAAAAAGGAACAAGCATTGAACAAAAAAAAACTGGAATTAGAAATAGAGGAAAAAGCAGTTAGATTGGAAATTTCGAAACTGGAATTAAAGCTATTACAAAAACAACTCGCTGAATAATATTATTTGTATATACAGGGTGATTCCTATAGTACCTGCCACCGTTTGGGAGCGTATAGGGGGTGCCTAGGGGAGTATTTTGATATAGGACACTTGGGGTCGGAAATCTAAAATAAGGGCGCCAGAACCAAATTTATCTTCTGGAATTTCACGCCTGTATGTAGGCAACCCAACCGACCGACGTTTCGCGCGGAGCGATGCAGAGCGAGTTAGCGCGAGGAAGCGACATGGGAGGGAAGGAGGGAAAACGACAGTCAAAAGCAATAACGTTTACAAGTGTTCAACGTGGCCACCGTTGTTCTCAATGCACTTCCTACATCTAGCCAACTATTATTATACTATTGCCATAGTGTTTATTCACTTGATACGCGTCGTTGCAGACGGGATTTCGTGGGTTTAAACAAAATTCTGATCAAGTGTCAGCCACACATCGCCGCCTGAGATCGCTCCGTGTGCACCGCCGGCCGGTTGGGTTGCCTACCTACAGGCGCGAAATTCCAGAAGGTAAATTTGGCTCTGGCACCCTTATTTTAGATTTCCGACCCCAAGTGTCCTATATCAAAATACTCCCCTACGCACCACCTACACGCTCCCAAACGGTGGCAGGTACTATAGGAATCACCCTGTATTTATACTGTACCAGTAAACATTGTTTTAAACTTATAAATACTTATCAAATACTCCCAATTATTGCATATGTGCAAAATGACTGTTTATTATGTTTAATCTTGTGATATTATTTTGCATATTTCGATTTCCTGGATGTTGTTGTACAGGAATGTCATTAACGGCTACTATTGCTTGATTTTCTTCTTCATTCAGTAGTGATGGTTCCAATAAATTTTCATCAACAGCCATGTTATGTAGAACTGCTGTTGCCACTATTACATACTGCACTTTAACTAAATTTAATCTAATTCCTAGTGCTAGAATTGGAAACCGTCGTTTCCACACGCCATAGCAACGTTCCACAGCATTTCTTGTGCGAATCAATGATTCGTTAAATAAATTTTCTGCTGCAGTTGTGGGGTTTTATAGTTTTGTAATACAATAATTTGTATTTGCATATCCACTATCTGCCACAAGTACACTGTCAGCAAGGGCTCCTGGATTATTTTGGAGCCTATTCTTTATTGCCGATTGGGAAAAAATTGTGGCATCATGAACAGAACCTGGCCAACGAGCTACCACATCTCGTATTTTTAATCTTGCATCGCATATGGCCTGAACATTATAGGAGAAGAATCCCTTTCTATTCCGATACATTTCAGCTTGCTCTCCTCCTATTATGTTATTATTATTTTATATCCACTCAAAAGCTAAATATTACCAGGTGAAATTATCTTCATGTGTAAAATCAAGTGCCCCAACGACTTTTGGAAAGCGAGCTATCGCATAAAAATCAGTTTTTATTTGTCTCACTTCTTCCTCTGTATTTGGGAAATACACCTATCTGGGACGTAGCGATGCAATTGCACGCAATACTTTCCACATATATTTACTCACTGACAATTTATGGACACCAACAAAGTCCCCAGCAACAATCAGCATGCTACCACTTGCCAAGAACCGAAGTGTTAGCAACAATGCAGTTACGGGTTGTACTGCATGATTCCTGAAACGTATATTTGTAGTTTTTAATTACCATAAGTACCTCTACAAATATTACCATCTCGTTCTTGTTACAATATCATTTTGAACTAGCTCAAGAACAATATTTGCTAAACGTTTCGATATCCTGAAACGCTGATAAAATTCATGCTCGTCCCACACCACAAAATTATCCTGTTTCTGAAGACTCTAAGTTTTCTTCTTCTCCCAAGATGTTCAACAAAATTTACAATTTCTCCATCATCTTCATCACTGGATGGATAAACATGAACATCAATAACATCCATTGTAAATAAATTGACGGGGATGGAACGATTAACTTGACTTGACTTAGCCTAAGCTTTTACTTAAACTGTACTGAAATACCGGCCCTAAGTCCATTTTCTTGGATTCGCTTCGTATTTTATTTTGACAATGGTTCTACTGAGTTTTTACCTAGAAGCAAAGGAGATATGGAAGGACTAAGTACTACCAATTTATGATGTAGACTGTTAAAATACATATCTAAAAGCATTGAAACTAAAGCAAATTACTTTAAACTTTTATTCTTACGTACGCTTCGATTTCAGAAATAACTGTCTGTTCAATTTACACTTTAGGAGGGTGAATCCAGTCTGTAAATAGCCGTAATTTGTTTCTTTATTGTTTCTTCGCGTACCATTTACTTTCGAATCGATTAAAAGAACTAATTTGAATTAGAATATACTGATTTTTAAATTGAAACCTATAAGATAAAAGTTTGGAACGTTTATATTTCTTCATAGCAGGGATAGGTACCTATCTCCTGCAACTGCTCGCTCTACGAAAAGTCTTTGGCAAATTAAAGTGTTCTCGGACGCATAAAAATAAATCTTCTCTCTGTATGCGCCAATAGATCTGCCAGTATTCTTATTTGAAGGTTTCCTTTTACACTAAAGGCTTAGCCGTTTCAATTTAATTAAATGGATTAAATTTGCACAATCGTTTTGCATAATCATATATTCTTTACTACTCACCTATCTATCTCAACAAAAAGAACTTTACAATTTTGCTTCTGTGTCATACATACTAGCATCTCCATTATACCTACTCGTAAATATCTGCAAACGTTATTACGGTGATTGAAATGAGCCTGTAGCGATCTTTGTTTGTCTGGTGGTGTATTTATTCAACAGAATACATACGTACAATTTCCTTTATGTTTGCTTCTAAATTAGCCACATCAAAGCATTAGATAATTTAGACAGCTTAAATAGCATTTAAGGAACGACAATCAAAATCAAAAAAATAGGTTTTTTATTATACCTGAATCACAATCTCCGTTTTAAACACTCAAATGCGTGCGAAAAAGGGCCTTTAAAACACACGTGATTTAAAGTTGCTAAGTAACGATACTTCAAGTATGACTTTTGAAACTGTCATCTGGATGAAATAAAAAAATCCTCTTAGGTCGCTTTCTGTAAATGCAGAACATTTCTTTGGCTTTTGTACCTATCCTTTGGTTGAAGCTTTCACAAACGCGCGTAATTTAGGGTATGCTTCCAAATCTGTTCCACTTTTTAATCGCAGCATTGCTTTAAAGTTTTGAATGAATGCACCAAAATATAGAAGATTTAAATACCTTTGACATTTCCTTCATATATGCCAGCATTATGGATGCATTTAAGACTGTATTCGTAACTTCCTATTCATCCATGGAGACAATTTTTCATATTCTTTATAATAGGCTTTACTGGAGTTGGATTTTACACCTATCAACGTTTGTTTAGATTTTACAACAATCGTTTTAATGGACGGTGTATTATCTTTTTCAACGGAAATCGTTTAATTCACAAAGACGGATTTTTATAAGCAAACGTCAAGTGACATTTCCATGGCAATCGTGAAATTACGAACACCCAGCCCACTTAATTAGACATGTATTCGAGTGTAACGTCAATATGATTTCATTGAATTTCCTATTTTTAAATTATACTGCAGGTATAATAAAAAATACTATAAGATACACGTGTATAATTGGTCTTTAAAGCACTTGCAACGTTAAAGGCACTCCGCTTTGCGTCGTGCCCTTAAACTCGTTGCGCGTGCTTTAAAGACTTGATTATACACTTGTATCTTAATATACTATTACCTGAAACCGTCAAGAAAATCTAAATTTCAGGGCTATCTTGACATTAGAAAGTTGATCTTTACCTGACTAGTACTGTAATATTTTTGGCTGACTCCCATTACAGTCCTAGTACATGCAAAATAACAATTAGATCGTTCATTGAATAAGTTATTCTATCAACGATTGGATAATTATAATGCAGACTATGTGGATATTTTTAAATATTAATATACCTACACAAAGGATAATGGTTTTTTAATTAGTAACAATTAATGGAATATGTGTGGAAGTAATTATTCCTTTAGTTCTGCGCCAGTCATTTAAAGGTTTGTACGCCTTTTCGTACCTCTTTCTTTACATTATAACCTTACACAACTTCCTTTTGCTCTTCAATTCTAACAGTTTAGGAAGATGTTTGAAATTGTGAAGGAGTTGAAGGTACTTGGATTTCTTAATTGTCTCACTTTACAATTGAGATATCGCCACGAGCATAACCTTGAGCAATATTCTTCTTCACAAACAGAGTTCATGAACTCTAACAAAATCTGTACCGCGTTCATTTGTTAATTTTGATTGCATACAATTGTGAGGAAGTGAAGAATTTTCTAAAACACACCGATTCTTCAATATTATGATGGAGGCAGCGATACGTTTGTGTTTCTTTTGTAATTGTTTGGACAGCTCATTTCTTCCAAATTCACGATTGGTTTGTCCAAAGACTTTAATGCTCTGCATTTAAAGATGACGATAAGATGGCAATTTTACTAATCACACCACCGGCAAAGTATTCGACTTTATCCGCGGCGGCAAATTACGTTCTCACATCGCCAGTAAAAACTCACTTACCTGGCTAATAATGTAAAATACCGATATTAAATACTAATAATAAATATAATTTAATATAATTGAGTATCTGCATTGATTCAGTATCTGCCAGACGTATACAAACGGTACAGAATGATTGTGTAAGATTTATCTTAGGTCTTCGTTGTCGCAGCCATATCTCTAATAAATTAAAAGAATTGTTGTGGTTAAATATGACACAGAGGCGGAAACTACACTCCCTATGTATGTACCACTCGTTAATCATCACTGGTCTTCCAAAATACCTAAATAGAAAGATCCGATACGTACTGACGTTCACAATGTTAATATTCGTGCTAAGGGGCTATTATCAATGCCGCTCTTCAAATACAAATCTAAGAAATTGTATCTTAGAACATTTTCGTATAACATTGTTGTACTCTACAATAGCCTCCTGCCCGAAATGAAACATCTTTCCAGTTAA